CAATAAATACACTCATTCCTTTTCGGCTGCCTTGTTCTTTTATCAATAAAAGTCTTTGTCTTGAGCAGGTTTTTCTGTTAACGCAATGCCACTTTTAACTAACCATTTCGAAGAGGCAAACCCGTTCACTACCATTTACTAGAGTTATTGCTGGAAACTACCACGGCATGCTCTCTTTGCTCTCTGTAAAAACTTCGCTGCACTGGTGCACACCATGAGCGCGCAAATGAAGGGTAGGACTACAGTCTCGCTCCAACCTTTCCCCTCATGCTATTCACTTTGGATGCACAAAGAGACAAATAGTGCGCTACATAGTGATAGTGAACCGAAACAAAGATCGTACGCAACAAGATTGTTCACTCAGCCAAAAAAATGTCCGCGGAAATCCTCTCTTTGCTTCAGATGGCGCTGCAGTCTTTGTTTTGAAGCTCTCTTTTGTTTCTCCAGATGAAGAATAGGAATAGCACCGCCTGTTAGTGTCACTTTTATTGTTTTTCACACAAGTAGGGTAAGTCTGTTCGCAATGTCAGAGCTTTTTTGGAGAGGACCCACCGAATTTTGAGGACGGTTTTTTTTTTTCTTCAAAATTGGCTCAAAGAGAGGAGTGAACTATCTTGTATACACGATCTTTGACCGAAATTACGTCAGAGTACAGTCTTTAATATTATGACTCAAATATTTATGAACGGAAGGTGCAGAGCACAGCCATATTTGGCTGAGCCACAAAGAACTTGAGACAGAGCACAGCCATATGTGAGTCGTGCTAACAAAATGAGTGACTTCTCGCAATCCATGAATGGAGATATCAGCCAAAAATCAAAACAAGGGTAATATTTTGTAGACTCTAAACCACTGCCATTCTCTTCAAGTTTAACGTGTCTTTTATCATTTCATACAGATCAATTGTAAAACTTCAACCTATAAATTTGATGTTTCTATTTCCATCGGTGTAAAATCTGAGAAGTAACTCATTTTGTCAGCACATTTCACATATTTGGCTGAGCCACAAAGAACTTCAGACAGAGCACAAGTTCTGTTACCTGAGGTCTACCATCAGCATGAGATCAACTTCAAGGCAGGGAAAACAGCAACATCTTTTGGAAGGCTGACAGAGCGAGCATGGTAAAACAAAAGATTGACCATCAAAACAAAGATCAAGATTTATGAAGCATGTGTCCTCAGCACACTCCTTTGTGGATCTGAAACTTAGACCTTGTACAACTGGCAAGAAACGCGCCTCAACATGTTCGGTCTCATATGTTGCCGCAAGATCTTAGACATTTCGTAGCATGACAAGGTCACCAATGTTGAAGTGTTGGCCCAGGAAAACATTCCAGAGCATAAGAACTATCCTGTGTTTTAGGAGATTGAGATAGCTAGGCCATGTCAAGAGAATGGACGACAACCGGATTCCGAAGCAACTTCTCTATGGAAAACTTGCCCAGGGAAATGGACCATACAAAGGCCAGTATTGAGGTACAAAGACACCAGCAAAAACAGCTTATCTAAGTTTGGAGTAGATGTCAGCTTTTGGGAAGAAATAGCTGAATACCGGAAAACATGGAGGAGAATGACCAAGGAAAGAACTATAATGCTAGAGAGCAGCATTAGCAA